GAGCTGGTACTGCTATCCTATTGTCTACCAGAATGCAGTCATCGACTACTGAGAGTTGATTCCACAGCGGATTTGTGTATGGGCCCATAAGTTCAAATCCTGCCCGATCCTTCCTCTCTATTACGCGACGTAATCGTCCATCCACACATCCTCCGAAATGAGTTCAGCCAACAGTTTTATCGAATAGTTTCGATAAACTGAAACTCTCGACATCTCCCATGTCTGCCACTGAGCTTTCCAACTGCGTTTGCCGTTTGTTGATCCTTTTCGAAGGTTGAACTTCGCTGACTTCTGGACCTAGATCGTCATCATCCGCTGTTAGATCCACTTCTATGATTGATTTCGTTGGTGAGCCTCTTGGGCTGCTTGTGACCATCTGAGTGATCGCATCTAGCTCTTTGATGTTTCCCGGCATCTCCTGATCTTTGCTGACCAGATCCCAAATGGATAGCAAGTTTTTTGTTTCTTCGGCGTCTTGATCCCACATTACTGGTCGTGCAGCACAGCTGTCTTCCTCAAAGCTGTCTGACCCCGCTCTATCTAGTGTTCCTCTTCTAATCCGACATGTTCGATGGAAGGTAGTCTCGGTTATTTCTGCTTCCGTTAATTGATCGCTCTCCTCCTGTGTCCTACAGTCTTCGATTCTCACTGTCTTTTTCTTCATTTTTCCGTCCTCCATTTCTTCTGAGTTTTTTTTTCTGTTTTTGACTAAATTGACCGACTGAACTGCTCTATTGAAATTGACAAGAGTGTTCTGATTCAACACGTTATTGATAGGCAAAAATTTGAATTGCCACAGTTCTCGTTCCGGTCGAGCTTTGTTCGGTTTTTGACAGTTTTGTTGCTATGGCAACCACGCCTGGATTTCAGCTCTTTTCTGTTTGTGAGAATGTTCTAGAACTTTTTCACTCTGAATTGTTACATCAGTATCATTCAGTCGACTGTATAAACAGTCGAGTGCTCTATGAAAGCACTCAATCGAAGTGACCACAATTTTTTCATCCAATTTGGTTTCTGGCCAAGGTTCTCCGGTTGGTTCTCTAGATAGATAATCTACTATCCCCATATCCTTCCCTGGAATATGGACAATTTTGAATTGATAAGGCAGTAATCTATCCACCCACCTCGTTAATCGGGATTGATATGTTTTGTTAGACCTGTTGCCTTCTAAGGCCGATGTTAATGCCTTATGATCAGTGACTATTACAAATTCTTTTCCTAATAAGTAATGTTTGAAACGATCAACTGCCCACACTACCGCTAACAGTTCAAGCTCATTAGTAGAATACTTTTTTTCTTGATTAGTCAGGTAGCGCGACGCGAATGAAATTGGAATCCATTCGTTCTTTTCCGTTTGTTGCTCTAAGGATGCCCCTAGTCCACTATGGCTTGCATCACACTTGACCCGAGTTTCCCTATTCGGGTCATAATAATTCAGTTTAGCAATGTTTGCTACCGCTTGTTTGATTTCCTCGAACACCTCAGTATGTTCGGGTCCCCATTCAATTTTTTTTAATGGGATTTTAATGTTTTTCAATTTTTTCTTTTCATTTTCCTCACGCAATAATGGTCTAAGCTTGTCTGTCAAATTGGCTGCATTCGGTATAAACTTCGCGAGGTGATTAATACTACCTAGAAAGGATCTAAGTTGTTTGAGCGACTTTGGATGCTCTAACTTAAGGATAGCCTCCGTTTTCGTAATTTTCGGGGTAACCCCACTTTCTGAAAGTTTATGTCCAAGTCAATTTACTTCTGTTTTGAAGAAATCACATTTTGACAGCTTCAGAGATAAGTTTTCCTTATCTAGCTTCATTAGAACGTCGGTAATTAGTTTTTCATGTTCTAGCTCCGATCCCTTTGAGACGATCAGTATGTCGTCCAAGAAACAAAACGTATTCCTGGAATGATTTAACGTCCGATCCATTGCTTGTTGAAATTCGGCTGGCATATCTGCCAACCCATAGAATCCCGTCAGAAATCTATATGTGCCCGTAGCTTTCCCCCGTACGATGTTGAAATTACACTGTCTTGCAGTTTGTGGAGTCAACTTTAACTGACTATATGCATATTTCAAATCTAACACAGTGAAAAACAAGGTACCTGCTGTTTGTGCAGTTACTATCTGACTAACACCGTCTAATAGCTCCTTCACATTCGGCATCTGATACTTGTTTTTATATAATTGTCTGTTGATGGGCTTTGCATCCAGAGCCAATTTAATTGAATCGTCTTTCTTCATTATAATGACAATAGGGGCTATGAAACAATCACTGGTATACTTATCTTACTTCTGAATATGGCCTTCTAATAGTAATTTTTCAATTTCCTTCTCAAGTTTTTCTTGCACATGGATGGGTATCCTCCTCCCCTTTTCCTGAATCGGGCAAAGAGGGTATTTGAACGTTGTATTTACGACAAGATGTACTGATCGTCCTTTTCTGTCAAACAGTGGTTTAAAATCCTCATAGAATTTTTCTTTCCACGGCCCCGACTGTTCGCACAGCATTATATCAAATCGGGATTTCATCTTCGGGCGGGTGTTTGCCTGGTGGTTATACCCACTTTACTTTGTAAGTCTAACCCTAAAATACACCGTGTTCTTCGTTCAGTTATCAGAAAAGTGGCCTCCGGAACTTCCCAGCCAGCGGACCGTATATTTGCCTTCACAGCACCCAATATTGCTATTGGTTTTTTATTATAATCCACGAATTGTGCTGGTAAGTACAATTTTTCAACCGGAGTAAACTGTATTTTTCCTGATGAATCTAGAATCTGTTTTGCCACTGTCCAATTTATAAATGAAATTGGGCTTCCGGTGTCCACGGTCATATTTATTATTTGATTATCAATTCGGATTAGAGCTTTCAGTGATTTCATCCTTCCCGATGATGAATCTTTCCGTATGTCAATCTTTTTCGTTTCGAATTTGTTTACTCCAGTGCTGCCACTGTTCTCTTTTACTTTCTCATCGATGTATTGATTGATCATCTCTATCTGACTGCCTTTATGTTCAATTGCCATAACCTCGAATTCTTCGCACGAATCAAATGTTTGAATCAAGTTAAATTCTTCCTCAGAACTCTCTGTATTCTCAGTTATTTCACTGACTTGTTGTGAACGACACATTCGAGCAAAGTGGTTTGGTTTATTGCAGTTCTTACATTGTTTTCCCATCGCCGCACAATTTTTCAAATGACCGTCTACAAATGGTCTGCCACACCTGCTTCATTGTTTCCTATCATCTGCGTTATGATTGCTCGATATCGCCCTTCCTTCCGACT